TTTAATTTATCTGACCAAATTGACAATTCAGACATTATATTTTACACATTTTATTGTAACTGATTTTAAAATATTAGTCAATAAATAGTTATGAGTTGCGTTCCTGGGACGACTTTATCGGAAGATAATTCATCGATTACTTGCTACTTACTAACTTACTTCGACGGACAAGATTAAGAGTAGAAGAGTTTCTGGAAAAAATTGCATTCCTGGCTTAGTGACTTTTGTGATGTCGAAGATCCTGGGTTTGTTTTCCGGCTATCTGAGGAGAGAAACCTTAGAATAATTTTTCCAGTTTCTCGAAATTTCTTTTCAATCTTACTTAACGTTAACGGCGTTATAAGTCTTTCTTATTTATTTTATTTATTTATTAAATATTATTCATTTATTGTTATTAAAATTATTCATTAAATAAATTACACAATACCATTTAAGTTCCCGATCAGTCTCCATACCCAATGATCATGAGTATTTCAATTCATGTCTTTACACTTAAATACAATTCATTTCTACTACTTCAAATTAATTCTAAGTAATAATACAGAACATTCACGAATTAATACAAGAATTATTATCTTACTTAATTGTTATTAAAAGTCAATAAAATATTGACATCTTACTAAAAACTAGTAGGCTCGACTTTAACTACTATACCTTTTTTAGAATCAGCTTATTTTTATTGATCTAAAAATATCACAAGATACAGGGTGTTACATTTGCAAAAAATCGACGTGTTTTAGATATTTTTTTAAAGGCTTTTAGTTTAGGAAATATTCAATTTATTCCATAGTTTAAGGACACACTGTATATTGAATATACATATTTGTAGTCTGAATTACTTATTCCCAAATAGAAGTATCAATCGCAACAGAAATAAATTAATCAGAAAATGTATTCGAGTTATAACTAAAATATTGACAAGCTCTTTAAGGAAAGCTCGGCTCGTTTCTAATTCAGCTCGGCTCGCAAGAAACAAACCGGTTTGAGTTCGAAGCTCGGCTGGTCAAACGAACTGAGCCTCAAGCCAAGCCGAACTAAGGTCGAAATTGTGACCATCCCTGCAGATAATGTACCTTGTTAACCATGCTTTAACCAGTGTTTCAAAACTTTCAAAGAATTGCAGAAAAATGTAGGCGTAACTGTGTGTACATTATTTTTAAGAAAGGCTTTCTTGCCGTATATGTATCTGGTAGTAGTAAAATGAAATACATTTTCGTTAAAGAAAATCCGAATCTACTTATATCACCAATAAATTTTTTTATCCAGACCTTCGCAATATTCTTCAAATCTAAATAAGGTTGACTCTAGTGGACTTCAGCTCACAGAAAATTGAGTCTACCTACTACACTAGTCTTCCTAAGATCCAGATTCGTTTCTTGGAAAGTGATCATATTAGAAAAAGCTGTAGATAACAAAATTAACTTGGTCAAAGAACAGTAATCTAACAGATTAAAAATCAGCATGCCTATTGACCTTTAAAACAGTCAAAGCAATAAACAAATATGCTGGTATAATTAGACCAGTATTTTTAAGATTGGATAAGCTCTTGACAAGACAGATTGAAAGTAATATCCATATTTTAAGATTTGCTGCAATTTGAAGAAATTATTATTGTTAACTTTTAGCCTTGAAACAATTGTACAATAAATCCTATAATCCTATAAACAGCGTATTTAAAAAGTATGGAAAATAGAAATCAATCAAAAGGGTTTATTGAGCTCACAGGATTTCGTGGTAAATAAAATATGATGTAAACAAGCTATGAAAATGTCCATATACAGGTGACCTTAAGTCAGGAAATCTAAGATTAAGATATACTAATTATCACTGTCTACGGACATAAAGCTAAAATTATTTTCTTAACGTATATTGAGAGCTATTTTTTGAACTGATGGGGAATTAATAGGTTAATTTAATGAAAATTCACACCGGAAAGAGTTGAACGAAACCAGGAATTTGGAGAGAGGAATTTTCCAATTTTGCTTTTTTGCAGATCTCTCCTTTAAAATTATAATGCCAATTTTACTGTATCAAACCAATTATATTCGGAAATGCTGCCGCGATTAGTAGAATCAAACATATAAATAAGATTAATATTAATATAAAAATTAATAGTAAACTCGATAAGTTTCTGGACTGAACCATGTGGAATTTAGCTACGTCGACCTATCGACTCAAAACCTTTACCAAGACCTATTCCGGGACTCCAAACTCCGAGCCTCCCCTTTATATTACAATCACTGGTACTACATACTGCAGGACAACAGTGCAATGTACAATGCAAGCGGAAATTGTTTTTTATTTATAATTATTATTTTGCCTCAATTTACTACCAGGCCAAATTTTAAACCGGATAAAATGAGCTGACTGGTTTATTTTTTATTCCTTTACTTTACGTCGTGGTGTTACAACCCTGCGTGCCTTTTAGCCCACTTGACAATATTCCTCCATTCCTTTCTCTCTTGTGCAATTTCTATCCAATTTTCCACGCCCGCAGCTTTAAGCTCTCCTGCTATATTATCTCGTCATCGAAGTCTTACCCATACTAGTCTTACTATTCTTCCGTCATAATGTCTTCTGAAGTGTCTTGCTCACTGGAGTCTTTAGAACTTTATTTCTTTTACTATGTTGGCGTCTGCATATAGTTCTTCCAGCTCTTTGTTAGTTCCTATACTATATTGTCCTGTTGCCCCCGCCCAAAGATCTTCGTTGGATTTTTCTTTCCCAAACGTGTAGTCACTCTTAATTTCTCTTTCTTATTGTCCACGTCTCGCTACCGTTCATGACTACTGGTCTTATGACTATTTTATATGTATTTTTCTTTGTTCGGCTTAGTGCACGAAAACGATGGAACGACAACTTACTGGAGGCACATTGGAAAAGAGACAGAGTCATGACTACATATAAAGAAGAAGAGATGATTTTAATGGTTTTTAAGGACGTAAAAACATCTGTTCCAAGCTTGTATCCTATTATTTATTTCTGGTGATGCAGTTATTGTTGTTCCAAGATTCTCTGATGCTCTCAAAATTAAAGCCTCCGATGATGGTGTTCTTTCCGATTCTATTTCGTTTATTGCGGCTGGTCTACATTAGTTTTGTTTTCATTGATTAGGAACTCCATCTTCTCTGTTTTCTTCTAGAATCCTATAAAAGTTTCCTTCGTGCTTAATCTGGTACTTCCCATTAGATCGATATCGTCAGCAAATGCCAACAGAAAGGTTGGTCACCGGTTTTTCGATTTCTGCTCTTGTGATAATATTTTCCAAAGCCATGTTAAGGAGTTGTGGTGAGAGTGCATATCCCTTTCTGTTTTATTGTGAATATCTAGTTAATACCAGAGCGGTACGGTCTGAATCCACATTGATAATTTCCAGTGACTTTTTTGTATGTTTTGGTTGTTTATAGCAGGAGTTTGCAAGGACTTTGTAGGTGGTATTTAGGATAGTTTATGTTTTAGACTCTCTGCAAACATACAATTGCTGCTAACCCTGCCTATTAGAAAGAGATGCAGGTACTGCTTTACGTCAGTTTTCTTTGCCGCACTGGGGGAACGTGTCTGTATGGCAGTGCTCAGTGCATTTGTATTATATGTCTATGGTTGTAAGCTCAGATAGATTATAGGTTATGTTAGGTTAGGTTTGGTTCATAGACATATTATACAAGATAGACTGAGCGTTGCGCAACCAGCCCATTCCCCCAGTGTGACAATAACTGACTCTAAGCAGTCCCTGAATCTTTCTAATTTACCGGTATTATCGACCACGTGACCTAAATGGCCAATGGAAATGTTACGTGGTCGATAAACCCGGCCCATTCGACAGAGGTGAAAGGACTTATTTGCGTCAGTTATGGCTTTGGTTAGTTTAGGTTAGGTTAGATCGAGATAGATTTGGTAGGGTTTGGCAAGATTTGGGTAACTTAAATAGGGTATTTGATAATTTCTAAGGATAGGTTAATATAATAATTTTTCCATTCCAATATTTTAATATCCATTCCAATATATAATCTATTATAATGTTGATTAGTAAGAACAGATCGAATTGTGTATATTTTTAGACTATTTTATAATGAAAGTTTCATACGTTAGTGAGTTCGGAAGATAACATTTCTTAGAAATATGTGACACAGTTTAGAATACTATATTTGCTATATCATTTGATTTTGAGAATTCTGCGTAGACAGGAAGCAATATGAATTATTAAGTAAACGTGGCAACACTGTATTTCAATAATTTCGTCATATCATTCTTTATTTTTTTTAAGGATATTTTTATTCGCAAGGATATTCTTATTTTGTAATTCATTTTATAGAGGGCGGCGTATTATGCGGCAAAAATCATTGATACCTGTCTTTTTTCTCTTATAAAAGTCTGCCTTCGTTCACACTTTGACATGACATGTTTAATCTTTGTTGAGAACCCGTCAGGCAGTGGTGGAACCGAAGACAGATTCTGAGAAAGACACGACGGGATGTAAGCTAATGCCCTCGCTAAGTATAGACCACGCTGTATATTGTTTATGGTTCCATAATGTCCCCGTTTCTTCATATATTTATGTTAAAAGAAGGCCTTTTTTTATATTCTCAATTAATTTAAATGACACAAAACTTTGGTTTTTTTAGTTTGCCTGATGGAAACTATAAATTTTTGGTTAAAGTCGAGGTTTTCCGTTTATAAATCTCTTTCCATATAAGTGATATTAAAAGATTATTGCAACTGTCAAAGTTAATTGTAACTGAATCTATAAATAAATCTTCTTAACCTTCAAGGATATTAAACCATTTTTAAAATCTACTATAACACTTAATGATAATGTAGACACTCGACAATATTATTTAATAAATGCTTAAAATTTTTTTTGTCACACTGTATTTAAATTTTACGTATCATCTAAACTAATCTTACATTATGACGAAACGCCGACCCTCAAGTAATTTTATCATTATATATATACTAAGAGTTTATCAATAAAGTTGTTGATCTTAAAAATTATTCTCCAGTTGTTGATAACTCACTCACCGAAAACGTCAGGAGCCACCATGTTGAAGTAAGTGCCAGTCAGTGTGTTTCCGGAGCAAAAAGAAATCCACAGTTTACAGAAAATCAAAACAAGAAAAGAGAAGCGAAGACTTTTAGTATTTTTTTGGGAAATATAATATGGTTCAAATTGATAAATTCGACACCATGGATAGAGTACAACCACCAAGTGAGTACCGTTACTTTTATATATTTTTCCGTCTTTATTTTTTACAAATATACTAATTCTTTGAAGTTTCTTGTATGGATGTCTTATTCATAAATGTCATATACAATAGAAAATAGTACATAGTAATAATTTTATTGTGACATTGGTCTGAGTAATTTAGCAATCGCTCATGTCTTGATTGATGTTCCACTTTTTTATTAGGTACTATTTTTGCAGAGATCTTTATACACATCTATAAATATATACTGTATTTAAAATTTGCTTCTTTAATGTCATTGACAATTTAAATTATTTTAAAGAGAATACTTTTTCTGTTTTGTTACTTATTTCCTTTTGAAGGTTATGGTTAAGGTTAGGTATTTTGATAGATATTACCGGTATTTTGCTTATATTAATAACTCTTTGGTTATGATGTGACATTGACAGCTGGATCTTATATAAATTTCACATTATTTTAAATTTCCATTTCAACTTTTCTATGTTGTCTTTGGTAAACAAAGTTTCATGTAAATATTTTTAGTAAATACCTAATCGAAGACTCTTGTCTTTAGATACTGGCTGTATATCTATTTTTTTTTTGTATATACATAAAATATTCTCCTATTTTTATTTCCTCGTTCTGATTTTCTATAGTCAGTTTATAATTTTTCCCTAAGTTATTTTGATTGTTTGTTTGATGATTTTAACTGATGATGTCTTCTTCTTAGTTTGTGGTGGTTATAGTTTTATCACATTTAATGTTCAATTCTACTTTCACTCATTTGTTATTCAAATACACAGTATTATTTTATGATTTCTTAATTTTTACTGGATACAGGTATAATTTAGTATGTATATACCAAGTGGTTTAGATAGGTTTATGTTATTACCAATTTTTTCCAGTTTAACCGTTTAAAGAGTTTTTCTAGTGCTTGGGTAGACATTTTTGCTCATACAGTATCTCTTTGTTCGATATCCCGGTTTATTTAGTAGGCCCATTTTGTTCCATAAGTTTAACACACTTTTTGCCTTGAATATCATATACAAGTGTGCGATAATGGTTTGCGTTTTTACGAATAATTTCAGAGTTATAAATTGCTTGCTTCTTTGGCTGGCAGATATATAGTTTTTATGCCATTCTGTCTGTTAGTCTTTTAATTAGTTACTACTATGTAACATTCAGTAGGTATGTGGGTCTTTAATTCTATAGATTTTTTCATGTCCATTTTCGTTGATGAAGAGTTAGAAGTCATCGGTGAAGTCATTTTCGTTAGAAAATGAATTCACCGCAAAAAGCTTTTTTTGTTACATTTATTCTGTTCATCAATATAAGAGCTCTATCATTTCTTTGATTGTATCTGTTCTTCTTCCTCCTCTTCGTCTTTTTATATAGACATGACTCCAGAACGATAGTAAGTTGTTCCATAGTTTACATCGTCTTCCTGTTGGGGAACCGTCTCTTGCCGTTTTTACTACCCTATTTGTTGTCATTCGGCTTATATGATCTACGTTGTATACATGTGTATATGTACTTCTAGCTCTGACCAATAGTATTTCATTTTCTTCTTGATGTTACTTCTTCTCCACCTTGAAATTAACATGTTAAATTTTCTGGCGTTTATATTAAATTGGTGGAGCATAAGTTGTAAATCATCTTCACTTTGTGAGAGTAGTATTGCGTCGTCTGCATAGCAGATTGTTTAAAACTGTTTTTCTCCCATTTGGAATACTTTTTTAGTTCTTACATTTTTTAGCATTTCAATTCATAATCAGATTGAACAATAAATAGAGGACTCAAATAATCTGTTCGTCTTATCCTATTGCCAGCTTCAATAGGGTCAATTAGTTCTTTTACTTTTACTTTTATTGAGTTGTTTTTGTAGATATTTTCATCGTTTTGATTATTCCTAAAGATATTTCTCTTGTGTATAATAAATGGATAACGTCCTTTAATTTGACCCTATCAAATGCCTTCTAAAGGTCCACGAAATATAGATATGCCGGTTTATTGTATTCTAAAGATTTCTATTGCACTTGCCTCATTATAAATGTAGCTTGGGTGCTGAATCTACCTGACCTAAATCCTTGTTGTTCTTCTGCCAGTGTTATAATTTCATTTATTTGATTTGTTATTACTTTGGTTGTTAATTTTATTGTTGTGTTTAATAAATTAATTCCTCTGTAATTTTCCATGTCCGATTTGTCTCCCTTTTTGAAGAGAGATATTAGAATGCTTGATCTCCATTCTGGAGGAATTCCGTTGTCTCGTTTTATCAATGTTAATCTTCACTTCTTTTTGACTTGGCGCTAATGATCTCTTCAAAGAAGATTTTTAGGAACATATACTTCTATTATTTTTCATTTTAAATATAACATATGCTATACGATCTGATATACTCTTCGTAGTCTGTACATGCTGGACGACTCTTTTATTTATGATAAGCTATTTCGTTGTACTGTCGTAATTATTGCCTTTAAAGCATAGCAGATTTCTGGAGTTTATCGTTTTTGATCTTTTTTTTTTGTTTGTGCCAAACTAACCTATTGTAAAAATCCTTTAGGTTACCTTAAAGTTAGCTACATAACGCACACTCATTTTGTCATGCATTGCCCGGTGGTTACCACGAGGTAGGTAGGATTTGTTGTAGTCCGTATTTAACTGGTAGCTGATATTTACTTCATGGAAATCAATTATCTAAAATAAATAAATTCACACTAGATTTATTCTGATTCATTATCATGGCATCTTCACACCTGACGGGGCGATTACCGCTCTCTTTTGGCTCTACGTTGCCCGAGATAAATTCATTTGTCTCGGGAAATCAATCAGCATTTATTTTTTGATTTACAATTGGTTATGTGACTTGGCTTTCCCCAAAATATTTCTTCATTCTTTCCCATTTTTGCATATTGATTTCCATTCTCTGACTCCTTTCTTCCTAAAGTCTTCTATTATCTGGTTTTCCCATCTTGTTTTGGGTCTTTCTCGTGGTCTACCTCTTACTGGTTTCCAGTTGGTGATTTTCTTGATAACTGCTTTTGGATCTCTACTTTATAGATGTCCCATATATCTGAGTCTTTGTGCTTTGATAAATCTGACGATGTCTCCTCCTTTCAAATATTCTCTTATTTCGTGTTTTATCAATTTTCTAAATACGCCGTTACATAAAAGTTCAGTTTTAAAGACTCATAAGTGCGCGTGGCAACACCGCAGTTGGAGTGTAAAAGGCGTGCGAAAATCAGAATATAACTGCAAGCAACACTGACAGAAGAAAGACGTTCTGGTGCAGTTTGAGTCGTACTCAAATAATAATCAAATTCCATCCACTAAGTTTAATGAACCAGTATATTATATAAAATATGACATATTTCATCACACCAAGGTTTTGTAGGAGGTGTAAGAAAAATTTCCTCAAAATGTCTTATGACACATTCTCAAAAAAAATTGATTAATAAAAAATATTATAGAACCTTAAAAATAATTAAGTTGTATATTATTTATAGTCAAACGAAAGGAGGCTCTTGGAAGAACTAATAAAGAATTATAACGAAAAACTCGTGTACGTATAGGAAACCAATTTCTCATCCAATTATCAACCTTTATAAAAAATATTAAAAGTTAGTGCGAGATACGAACAATAATTAAAAAATGAATGAGTGGACAATCTTGTCCTGAAGTAGTAACATTGAGTTGCCTCTTGAGTTTTTGAACAATACTTATCGCAAACTATACTAAATTTGTACTTGTATTATTTCTGGATCAAACAAATATCAAAATAAATTGTTAAACTTATTAAAATGATAGAAAAAGAGTGTTTGAATCCAAAAAGTCTGCACATAAATGTAAAAAATATGAAAAAATGTACGCATGTGATAGACAATAAATGAAGAGCTAGCAGAAAGAGCGTGACTATGACAAAGCTGTAACTCTAATCCAGAGATGAGCAACACGCGGCCCACGGACCTACTCTAATCTATATACCGAAGAATCAAGATACAGGCCCATTTAATAAAATTGAAGAAAACTAGACTAATGGTTTTTAACAATGATTTGCACAAATTATTATGAAAAGTTTAATGCGCGGGTTTATTCTTTTGTTAAAAATAATTTATTACCAATATTTATAAATCTTTCCAATTCATTTTTGAATTCAGCATGTGTCGCACATAAAAAAATCCCACACTAAATTCTTATTTAAATAATTAATAATACTATTCAGTATTCGCAATTTTATTATATTTATGGCTGTTTTGGGATTTGTAATAAAAACGCTTAATACCTTAGTTAAACCTTCATTTGTTATCTGTGTCACTACGAAACCAAACACAATGCGATAGTATTGTTACACTCACTAGAGTAGTATTTAATTCAGTTCATACTTACATTTTTGTATTTAACAAATATTTGATAAATATATGTAAAACTATACTCTGAATTGAGTCCCAACTGACTAGTAAATTTAGTAGTTAATTTGTATTATGTTAATCAGAATTCGAAATCGACTGAGAAAAGTGACTATGCAATCGAGTGCTCATAGTCAAGGTTAGTTGTAACTTAAAAATGCATCATCATCATTGGTGCTACAGAACTATAGTTAATCCTCGATCTTCTTAAGTCCAATTCATTGCCAACCGTTGCCAGTTAGCTGCAAATATTCTTCTACACTATCTTTTCATCTACACCATACTTCCATCTAAGTTTTGACCTTCCTAATTTTTATGAGAGATATCACGTTTTTACCACTAGATATCTGTTTGTATTTGCAATATATTTTATGGTTGGACCTCTTCATCCAAATACCGTTTTCACAGATGATGCCATGGAGTATTCATCCCAGGATTCTTCGTTTAAATATGAGCAAGAGGTTTTCTTCTGTCTTGTAGATGGGCCATTTTTCTGATCTATATGTCAACACTGGCAATATAATTTTATATGTTTACGCAGGTCCAAATAGCACTTGTTCTCCCGAATTATTCTCCGTTTGATTTCCGTTATGGAGTTTTTATTGGTCATTAGGAAA